TATGAAGAGAAACGCCAGCGCAATAACTGCTCCCCAAGTATGCCGAAGTATTCCTTTTGTAACCTTTTAACTACACTTTCAGCTATTCATGTTTGCGTTTGGATCCATTCCGACAATGTACAGGCCATGTATTCCCTCCTAAGCTGTGGTCGCTATCCTGAATCGGTATTTATCATTTGCGTCGCTGGCAGTTTTTAGCATGATTTTCAACTGTCCTGATATGTCTATTTCGAATTCAATATTACGTCAATTGTGCATCAATTTTTTGTCATTTACTATCGATTATTCACGTTATTGTCGTGAGGCGTGGCCTGGCCCTTGTTACGGACACATGGCCTAGATGTGTTGGAAAATGTTGCTGGAAGTTGCATTGATGATGCGTCAGTTGGATGTAATTCTGCTCAATGGCACATCTTCGAGAGAAATGGAAGGTATCCACTTGCTTAATTTCGATGTGAAAGGCTGTTGCAAAGTTGGTACAAAGTTGCTTTGTTATGAATGATTTTGTGACGCCCTCTACGAGGCTCATCAACAGCGTCACAGTATGTAATATGGGTCATTTCATAGCTCAAATGGGCGCGTTTAGTGCTCGGACCTGATGCGTAAACTGGGCTTTGTGGCCAAACCGATCGGCTTGTTCGTTGATATTATGTGGATCTCCTTTGTCGACATACGAGGTAAGAGGAGGTCGAAATGCTGTGCCAGGTAACGCAAAACGGAGGACCTACGTCTGAGCGGGAGAATTGCGGCGTCTTCGGATGAATGGGAGAAGGACATTTTTGTGCCGCTCAAATTGGTCTGTAGCTTCGTCCTCTTGTCCGGTCCTGCCATCCCAAATCGCTTCTTGCAAGTCTGGGAGCCACTCTTTATTACTTCAGCCTCATTGCCTTGACGTCATCGCATCTCCTAGGAGATAGGACAGGCTCTCTAAGCTGCATTTATTTTCAGGTTGAGTTACAATGGGCCAAACTTGTATTTGCCATTAAATTCGTAATATTACTGGAGAGTAGTTTAGTAGCCTTCTAATATACATTTTCTAACCGTTTCAGACGCCGATTGTGTAATTTACTAGAAAATTGCCAGATTTTAATCCAAATTGATTTATTTTTGGATTTTTCTCACGCCCTCAGTCATGATGTGTTACTAAGTTACGTGTGAACTAAGTCTCGACCGCTTCATGAAAGCATCGTCGGGTTTCTGTCTGCTGAGTTATTTGTATCCCTCTCCAAGGGTTGGGTACAAGTTTAACATTTCCATTTCCATTTATTGTAACAATAATTTGCATTTGTTTTTGCATTAGAGTTTCGTGCTTGATTATACCTTTCATTAATCCTCCAGGCAATAATATTGAAACGATGCCCGTAATCTTGATACTTACTGAATTTGGTCTAAACTGGCTTCAGATTGCTTTATGAAAATATTGTAAATTAATCCACTCCGAGGACTGAGCTGTATCAAAGGAATCCTGATCGGTACTTCAATAATGGTTTGTTTTTATATCGCTTTGTGTTTCGTAGCTGGTGCTTATGAGACATTAAAACGATCAAGACTGTTCCGCAAAATATTGAGAGATTCATCATGAATCTCTCCCTTCACAATTTATAGCCCTGCGTCAGCTACAGATTTGAGTATTACGGCTTCAAAGAATTATAGTTTTACTTTTGCACTAAAGCCAATTAAAGTTAGCCTCACCTCTCAACGGTGTTGAAATGTTGAATGTAGATTTGTATTGATGAACTTGGATAAAGGTTAAAGCAACTCATTACGTTTTTTTATCGAGCGGTTAATTTCTTGTCTTTGTTGTCCATGATCAAAAGTCCCTATGACTGAGAGGAAATTGTATTTTTGTTTGCGATAATGGACTAATTAAATTTTTTCTTTCTCCGATTGCGTGTATGTTAGCTAGTCTTAACTCTCTAAAATGAGTTTTTGCAACTGCTCTTCTTAGGGCATCTGCCTTATTATTTCGCTTTATTTAAGAGTCAATTAATTCAACCGTTATTAACTTATTTTACAGTAGTCATATAATTTCATCCGTTTACCTCACTTATCGAGTCTCAACTCCGTTTATTGATTTGTGCCCACTCTTTCGGCTTGTTAATAATATTGCAATGAATCAATATACAGCACAATTGAACAAAAATTATTTCTAGAATTTGTCCTGCCTCATTTTCGCAATTCGGTCGTGTTGTCAGGACACATCTTGTCCGAAATCCTCTGCCATAGTAGGTATGATAATTCCCGGCGTCAAACCAGGAACTTGTATATTTCCGGGTGTCATGACACCACACTTGACCCGCCAAAAAGGGTACTCCTGTAGCGGAATCAATATATAAATAAGTCGGAAGTTGTGATAGGGCGGGAGTGAGATATGAGGTTGGGGAGTAGACAGATGTGCCAGGACGGAAAGAGGAGTGATAGCACTACCGTTCGACAGAAAGCTGTTCAAGGGATTGACTTCACTTGTCTCTTTTACCAGTTGTAGCTTGGTTCCGAGAACGACAAGGCTCACTGACGAGGCATGCGGAACATCTGGGAATGTGCCAAGTCCATGATTCGACGCTGGGAATTACGGCTACTACGTTAGCGTCTGACTAAGTCGCCCTGACAACACGACCAAGTTGCGAAAACGAGATCAGACTACTTTTGTAGATCGAAAGGAGATTGCGACCAAAATAGAGGCCACAACATCTTGGTATTCGTATCTATGTTTAAAAATGAC